AGAGGACGATGATCGGGCACAGGACTATATTCTTCCTGACTCGGTTCGATGTGGTGTTACTCGGCTCGGTCTGGAACAAGAGGTTAGAGACTCCCTGGTTGGGGTGAATATTCCTGAGGCCTGCCCCGAAAACAGACTTTTTGTTCCTGATCTCTTACGGGGTAAGGTCCTCGAGTTCTGTCACTGCTCCCGGCTGTTTTGCCACCCTGGCATTATCAAGTCCTTAAATATTGTTCGCTCCCGTTTTTGGTGGCCCACCCTGACCCGGGATGTCAAGGACTTTGTCTCGGCCTGCACCCGTTGTTGCCAAGCCAAAGTCTCACGTCGTCCCCCGTCAGGCCTTCTCCGGCCTCTGCCTGTTCCCTCCCGGCCCTGGTCTAGTTTGTCAATGGACTTTGTCACTGGCCTCCCTGTTTCTAAGGGCAATTCCGTAATCCTTACCATTGTGGACCGCTTTTCTAAGATGGTCCACTTGGTCCCCTTAGCTAAACTCCCCTCTGCTAAGGAGATGGGCTTCATCCTGGCGAGGGAGGTTTTCCGGCTGCATGGCCTCCCCTCCGACATTGTCTCAGACAGGGGTCCTCAGTTTGTGGCCCGTTACTGGCAGGAATTCTGCTCTTTACTGGGGATCTCAGTCAACCTCTCCTCTGGTTTTCACCCCCAGACCGACGGTCAAACGGAGAGACTCAATCAGGAGGTCGAAGCTAAACTTCGCCTTCTATGTGATTCTGACCCCACTACTTGGTCCCAAAATCTGCCTTGGGTGGAGCATGCCATCAACTCCACACCCTCCAGTTCCACCGGGCTCTCTCCCTTCTTTGTTGTGTACGGCTTCCAGCCGCCGGTGTTTTCCGTCATGGAGAGGGAGGCCAGGGTCCCGTCTGCCCGCCTTTCTGCACTAAGGTGCCAACGTGCCTGGAGAAGGGCTAGGAGGGCTATACTTACCTCCTTACATTCTCAGGTACGAGCAGCCAATCGCCGACGGATTCCGGCCCCTCTGTATCAGCCTGGGGATAGAGTTTGGCTTTCCACCAGGGATCTTCCCCTCAAGGTAGAGAGCAGGAAGCTGGCTCCTCGGTTCATCGGCCCCTTCCCCGTCTCCAAGGTCATCAACCCGGTGGCGGTCCGTCTGCGCCTTCCCCCGTCAATGAGGATTCACCCTACGTTCCATGTGTCCCGGGTTAAGCCCGTCAAGACCTCCTGCCTTGTGCCCACCTCCAGGCCCCCGCCTCCCGCCCGTCTGGTTGATGGTTCCCCAGCCTACACGGTGAGGCGCATTCTTAGGTCCAGGAAGTGGGGGAAGGGTCTTCAGTATCTCATTGACTGGGAGGGCTATGGTCCGGAGGAGCGGCAGTGGGTACCTTCCCGGTACATCCTGGACAAATCTCTCGTCAGGGATTTCCACAGTACCCACCCTGACCAGCCTGGGGCGTCTGGTATCCGCCCTTGAGGGGGGGGGGCTCTGTGACGATCTCGGCACTGGTGCTGGCTTAATCTCCAACTCCTCACACCTGCTCACTCCACCCTGCCTGCAATTATCTCTAATTGGTCCCACTTCTATATATAGCTCATTTGGATCTGTTCCCAGTGCCAGATCGCCTCAAACCATCTTTTGAGTACCTTCCAGCTCTTCTACTGTTTGCCTGCCTACCTGTTACCTGACCTGTTTTTGCCCTTTTTCTCTCCGAGCCTGCCAAACCCCTTATCTGATTCTGACTGCCTGCTCTGAACCCAAACCAGTAAACGGACCCTCGAACGGACCTGGACCTCTCTTTTGGATTGCCCCTCTGTACCTTCGCTTGGACCCCGTCTCTGAATCCACAAACGAACTGCCTCTGGAGCTCATCGGCCTAAGCCCTCAGCTGACCATCCGCCGCTCAACGGCCACCGTTTCCACAAGCCCCTTCATCGATCGGACTCCTGCCCCGGACTCTAAGCGGTGCTAATCGCCCACCCTGCGACCCAGTAACAGGTTAGTGATCCAGCCTCAGTTCCTCTCTAGCTCTCTGATTGCTGATCACTAACCTGTTGTCTCCGCCACAGGGGGTTTCCTGACCGAGAGCCGCCTGTACGCTCCCCTCGCCTTCCATTATAAATAAAAACTGTTGCATTCTGCTTACCGTTCTGAGTTGTTTCCTGGGTCCAAAATCCTGTACGTTACAGTAATAGGTTTAGCCTACTTGTTCTGTTTAAAAGTGGTTAGCTGACTAAACAGCCAGGGTTTCCATAGAAAAACGGATTTACTTAAAGCATTTCCTAATACTTTTTATACCTCCCCAGGTTTCTACGTTAGTAGAAAACGTTGAGTGTTCTGTGGAAGTTGCATGGTATAGGTGTGGTGCATTCATTGATTGGAAAGAAATGTGACTCATTAATCAAAGGTGAGGGATTACCAAACTGATGGTCAGATGATTCCGGCCACCTTGTTATTATTGTAAACTGCAGATTATGATCATAAGATATATTCCCCATATAACTTTAGAAATAGATACACTATTATTAAACTATTAGTTCCATATATTTGTATTTGTTGCATATAAAGTAAATCAACTTTAGTTACTCATGTTACATGAATTTATAATTATTTTTATTTGGCCTTTATTTAACCAGGTTAGTCCTATTAAGATCTAAAATCTATTTTGCAAGAATATGATGGATGATGTCTTCCACTTTGTCTTAAAACAAGGTTTACCATCTTAGTGGCTTTTTTTGTTCACTATATATACTAATTTAGACACTGATATGCCACAAATTACAGTTTTTAAATCAGACAGTTGACTTGATTTATTGCCTCATGGTTTGTTGAAGAAATGTACGTGCTGTCTTATATTGATCCGCAAGAGACACACTGCACAGACAAAAAAAAAGGAGCAGGTTGTTAGCTGTAGACAAAGGACTTTCTGTCCTGAGAATAGTTGTTGAGATCCAAGCAGTAAAAGAGCTATGTGTGGTATCCTGTTACACAATGCCAATTTACTGCCTCAACACACGCTGCATTCTATACTGCCCACTCCAACACCTCCCTCTCCTTCAGTTACTCTGATGCTGCTGGAGTACTTTTGTAAAAAAAAAACAAAAACAAAAAAAAAAAAAACGCAGAAGTACTCAGGCATGCAGCTTTACTACTAAACCTTGCGTGTGAGTGGCTATGGTAACTAAGATAGCTGAAATGCTGCACAAGCATGTGCGTGGGAACATCTGTGAAGTGTGTATAATGGGTAGATGAGGCTGCCTCCAGCTTGTTTATTGGAGTTTTTTGTGAGACACTAAAATGAGCCTTGATTACATACAATACTGTTTGCCCTACTTATTTCTAAACAATACTAATACAAACACACAATGCAAATGAGTTTTAATAAATGATGTTATCAAAACTTAATCTATTTCAGTAATTTATATATCACAGTGAAAATAAAATTACACAGCAAGGATTTCCAATACTTATTTCAGTTTGATGAATGGCTAATAGCTAATTTTAACCCAATATTGAGTTGTTTAGAAAAATACCATATAACATAATCTGTTATGTAACAGCCAACACAATCATGGGGGACAATACTGCTTGGCAGTTGCTCAAGAAAAGGTAATTTTCAAACTCCACGAGGGAGGGTAAACCCCAAAAGGTCATTAAACATTCTGGCCGTTCTGTGCTGTATCTTAGGATATTAATGGAAAGTTGAGTGGAAGAAAAAAAGGTGCAGAAGCACGGTCTTGAGAGGACTCTGTAGCAGAGAACATTAAAGAGTTTACCGAAGATTCATAATGTTAGGACTACAGCTTGCGCCAAACACAGAGGTATCTTGGGCATGAGCTGTTGTGTTCAAACCAATTCCTAACCAGAGGCAACATTGAAAGCATTTTAACCAAGATATTTCTGCAAAACTTGTTAGAATAAAAAGACTGGACTTTTGCCTAAAGTCCTCTTTTCAATTTTTATTTGTATTCTATTTACTAGTCGAAAAAGAGTGAAGAGGAGCAAAACCAGAATTGATTGAGAGTCAGTGTACTGTAAAGTCTCCACAGTCAGTGATGATTTGGGGAGTCATCTGCTGGGGTTGGTTAACCATGTTCTCTAAAGTGCATAGTGTGAACAGCTGTATAGCAGTAAAGTTTAGATCACTTTGTGCTTCTCTCTGTAGACAAGCTTTAAGGAAAATGGATGAATCTTCTAGCAGGACTTAGCACCTGCCAGGTTGGCCACTCTGCCAAAAGTACAAATACCTACTTTAATGACAATTGCATCACTGTGCCTGACTGGACAGCAAACTGGCTGGATCTACATCCTTTATATAGCTATTGCAATATTGTCAAGAAGATTAGAGACCCCAGAGTCAAGAATTTTAATGAGCTAAAATCCACCATGAAGCCTGTCTGGTAATAAAATGTATTGCACTGTGAAACCTGATAAAAGAACTTAAATCAAAATAGTTTATTTTCTCTCATGAACATGTAAAAAAGTTGATCTCACAATGTAATTAGTATATTTGCCTTTTAAATAAGATATTTAGATATTATGCACATGAAAAAAGTCTAGCAAATCAAGGAAAAATGCACCTATGTCAAGAAAAACTAATTTTTGCAATGTGAAATGCTGCTGCATATTAATAAACTGTGAGAAACATTTAGGTGAGGCTAGAAGCACTAGTCAGTGTCTTTCTCTTTAAGTTGGTGTTTGCTTGACCAATGTTATGTTTGTCCGTGTAATTACAGATCATTTAATGGCTGAAGAAAAAAAAAAGGAATGACCATCCGTTTCACCTTTTCCCTTTGTTTTTCTCTCCTTCTCTTTGCTTCTCTCTCTCCCTCCGGAGTCAAATAGCGAGTTTCCGTCAGAGGAACAAGTGATAGCGCACCCACCTTCTCTCCCTCTCCTCCCACCTCTCCTCCCTCCCTCCCCTTCCTGCTTCCCTCAGTCTCTCTCTCTGCCTCTGCAAAGCATTCCTCTCTGTCCTGATCACTTGCCCCCCCGACTCACTGCTCTCCCCTTCTCTGTCGTTCAGTGGCTTCATGAAAGGAGCACCGTGTGGTCTCAGGCGAGGCTGGTGGAAGAAGTCAAAGCAGAGGTAGGCACTCACTCTTTTTCTCTCTCCTCTTCTCATCTTCAGGGAGTGGCTGACAGTCTTCAGGAAAAGGGCTTAGATTGGAAATATTGCACATGCTTTATATGGTTATCATCTGATTTTCTTTCTCCTTCACCAAGTTAATCCCCACTTCTTTACCTCCTCACTTCTCCCTTTCCTTCTTACTTTCATTGTTTTTTATATAATTTTTTTCTTCTGGTATTTTACAGGGTTTTCACATAATCTCTCATCTTTGCCTCCTTTGCACTTTGTTTACCTCTTTTTTCCACATTCACTCCCTGCTTCAGTCTCTCCCTCTCTGTCTGCCTCTGAGTGGAGTGCGGCGCGCACACGCAGAGCTGTGCATCTGTTGCGTGTCGTATCCTTCTGCCTATCAGATTTCCCATAATGCTCCCATGTTGTTCTTAATTGCTTTGCCCATATTTTCACATCTCTGCATTTATCTCAGTTAGAAAAGATCAAGTGTTCACTTTAACTTTTTTTAAAGCGCCTAAAAGGTTGTATTGACTGCATAAAAATCCATTTTTATTTCTTTTGGAATTTTGTAAATATTTTAAATATGAAAGGCAAACATACTCCTTCTGAGACAGGCGATGTAGATTGTGGATGCTGCTTTGCTCGGTGTCAATTTGTCTTGGCTAGTTTTTTTATGTTTGGTAAATGTGTTTAATAAGTGCAGAAAAAAAGTTGGAATAAATTCTAGATTGTTTGCTGTTTTTGTGTGCACGTTTGTCCATTCTGTTTTCTGATGAGCTTTCTGATCACTCAGAGTTGTCATCTGAGCTTTACCTGAAGACAGAGTGTCTGGGGGCTTTTATTCCTTTGGACATGACCACTTTCCTCTTTGTCTGGTGTTCCAGCCTCACCTTTATTTAATCTTTGTCATTTCTTATCTCCCATCTTACTTTCTCCCCCCGACAACTCTGTCTCTTTCTCCTGTCTTTTTCCCGCCTTCACCTCCTCACCCCCACCATCGTCTCTCCTGCAGGTTGTAAAATGGATTCTCTCCAGTCGGAGTCACCAGGCGAAGAGCAGAAAGCGGAAGAGAACAGAATCCAAGGTGAACTACAAAGAGGTAAGCACTCTGAAGTATTAAGTCCTTTATCTCCCTTCTTACTTTTTTACTCTTCAGTATACCTTCCCTATTTTATCCTTTGAAGACTTCTCTATTCCCTACCTGTTGGTTTTTTTTCTTTTGGATGTTGCTGTAATTTATTTTTAATTTTTTGTTGACTTCACAGTAATTTTATTTGTTGAACAACACTGTTATCCTCAGCTCTGTTGATGTGTTGTGTCTGTCAGTACAGACAACCCAGTACTTTTACAGTCTGTGTTTATGTCCTGTTCTCCACTGGTGGATGTTTAACCTTTTAAGCGCTTGTATACATAACAAGCTCTGTGTGTGTGTGTGTGTGTGTGTGTGTGTGTGTGTGTGTGTGTGTGTGTGTGTGTGTGTGTGTGTGTGTGTGTGTATGTATGTGTGCCAGCGACCATGCATTTGTTACCCTTGTAGGGACCGTTTAAGGCCAATTTTCCAGAAATAAGCTACTTTGTGGGAGCTTACAGGTACTTGTAAGGACCAGTTGACTGGTCCACATGAGGAAGAGTTTTTTCTTGGGTTTGGAGTTAGGTTTAGGACTAAAGTATACATTAAGTCTAGGATAGATTTATCGTTAGGTATGTACTGGTAATGGTTAGGGTTACAGTAAAGGTTTGAGTCTAGCCATACATTAAATGGAAATCAATGTAAAAACACCATATGGGCAGTGGGACAAAATATGTCTGTGTATATGTGGCCATCTGAGTGAGAGCCATTTTTCTTATTTTACCAGCAAAGTGAGATCCACATGTTGTACATGTCATCCCCCCGGTCCTCACAAGCTATTTTGGAAAGAGATTTAGGGCTAATTTAAGAATTAAGTTTAGTTTCAGGTTAAGGTATATTATGCACTCATAAGGGTTTAAGGTTCTTGTCAAGCTTAGAGCATAGAAATGGTTGAAAATTAATGAGAATCAATGGAAATCCATGGGTAGGAATTACTTGGTCCTTAATACGTATAGCAAGAGGAAGTTTTGTGTGTGTATCTATGTGTGCGGTCACGGTCAGAGTGGATGTGGTGCCAGCGTTCTCCTGTGGGGGAGGCGTAACTACCAATAAACCTTTATATTCAGGACTTGAAGGGATGTTGCTTTTTAAGTGTAGTTCTACTGTATGTAGTTATTGTCAGTAGAATCTCCTCATCTCTAGTAAGAAAATTTTAAATCACCATGAGTTTGCAGGAAAGAGAGTAAGGAATACCAACTGCTTCAGCAACTCAAAAAAACTATTGCTAAAGTGACTATTTAGTGGTCATTTACCATCTGAAGTCACACAATTTAATTATGTATGTTTAGTAAGTGCCAATTCACAACAAATGTTATCACGAAACACATTATAAGATAAGTTGGTCGAATTTGTTTAAAGAAATAAAGTTGAGCCTGAGCTTTAATTTTAAATTAAAAGAAATGTTCTCATTTTAGCAAAAATTATCTTACTGGAATTAATGTTCATATTTTTGAGTGACCCAACCAGAGTCCTCCATTATATCTTTCAGAAATACTATCGAGAAATCGTTTAATTATATGTGATCAAATGAATGAGATCGTACAGACAGCTTTACATGCATTACATTCATTCCAATGGGATCCTAGTTTTACTATAACGTTGTCAAATTCAGTTTAAGATAAAAACTGTTAAAATACAGCCAGCTGCATAGAGTCATTCATTTTGCAGCCATTCATGCTAAGCATATGGTGGACAATAGTTAGGAGCAACTCTCTAAAAAAGGAAATAATGTTTTAGCAGCAATAGTTCAGCCAATAAATAAATAAACTGTTTTAAAAAGACAGTTTGTTGATGTTTTCTGGGTCACGAGATGACTTGATTTCTTGGAGATTATGTTTTTTGAGGCTGCCGCCTGTTATGACACACCTAATTTTGAAAAAGCAAGACCTTGAGAAATGCAGGAACCACCATCTTGACAGCATTTTACAAAGATGGCAGCCTGTTACAAAATTTAAAAGTTAATTCCAGTCTTAAATAAAACTGTTGTCACAACAAAGCAGGTAGATTATGAGAGGTGCCAGGGTAAATCTTCCTTTTTTTTCCTCCATCTTAGATAACAGCTACAACTTTAGGTGTATCTTGTGAAACCATAAGTCAAGGTTGTTGCAAAAAGTTAGCATGCAGAGATAACCATTGTTGTGGGCCAAAACTAATAACTCGACACAACTTTTCCAATTACTTGTTTAACAAATAGTTGTACTTTTTTTATTAAGATTTTTATTCTAATGCTTGACGTTGGAACTAAACAATAATGCACATATAGTGTTACCAACCGTGCTGATGGTGAAAGATTTTTATTTAGCTGAACTATATAAATGTATTTAACATAAATAATGAGCAAGCACTCTTATTTTTTCATGTTTAGTCTGAAAATTGATTCCAATTCCAAAAGAAATTTTCATGAAGGAACAATTTTTACTTTCCCCACAACAAGAAAGTACTTTCTTTTAACTGAACTGATGCACAGTTCCTTAGGGTAACTCCTTTCACTCTGTGTCTACCAGTGTAGAGCCAATATTGAACAAAAATGCTTATCTATCAGCGGAAAACATTTACCAAAGCACATATGCTTAAAAAGGAATCCTGGTTTTCCAAAGAAAAAGAGCCTTTTTAGATTTCTATCCAAAATTAGCGCTTTATGCATGTTTGATTTTTAGTCGTCAAGCTGGTTTTAACCTACAGATATTAAAGGGACAGTTCTGGCTGAAGACATGAATTTGTGTGAAATGCTTACTGTCTGTAGGTGAGATGCAAAATTGTCAGCACTCTCACTGAGCCTCCTGCTGTGAGAAACGTAAGTTAATATAACATAGAGAAAATAGTTCAGGTACCTAATAATCAAAGATTTTTAAGCTAGAAAAACTATGCACTTTTTTAATATCAATTAGGATAATGTTTTGGCTTGTATCACTCCACCGTGTAGATGTGGAAGACCGTGGAGCAATTTAATTTAATTGTGTTTTATTGAATCTTTAGTCTTCTTTTGTTTTAGGTTTTTCTAAATTTTTACAATCTGGCTTAAGCATGATATCTATTACTGCTAATGATAATATCAAAGAACTCCACTGGAAAAAAGGAAATCTAAACTTACCCTTTTTAAATTTCTTTATTTTATCTATGCCTTGCCTGCTAGCCTTTCCATTGTCAGTTTAAAGTTTTAATAACCACCCAACAGCTGAAAATTCAGTTAAAAGATTAAAAAAATTTAGTTTTTTTCTTCATGTGTCGTGTTATTTAGGAATCTCTGAAGACAGCTAATCCCCTCCACCCACTAATTGACACGCACACTTGCACACGCCTGCATCATTAATGAAAGCACACTGATCTATAAGCCACTGAGGGCCACAAGTCATTAGCGATGGTAGAACGGCTTTTATATATCCTTCACAATACCCTCAGATGTTGCAAACTGTTGGAAACCTTTCCAAAACCACTCAATTTCTTTCTCTTTTTTTTTTTATAAAGCACATTTTATATCATGAATAAGTTAGGCAAGCACTCCTCTGTGTCATGAAAAGAAATCTTGCCAAGACAGCTGCCTTTTTTGACACTTTTTTTTCTTTTTCTTGAACACTATGTACTTAAGTCCAAAGCAGCTGTAATGGAAGAAATATTAAAAAGATTATTAAAACACGTCTGAGCTCTTTCTTAATCCATTAGGCGTCTCATAAATTGTCATGTCGGAACATGATGAGATTACCTTAAATTCCTGAGTTTGCTGTGAATGAAATGCCAGCGCAGCCCCCCTCCCTTAAAACCACCTGATACCTAAATGTCTGGCATATTTTACTTTGCACACACACATATACACTTACTTTTAAGCGGCAGCTAAAGGGCCCCTTCCTGTTGGAGGCGGGGGGACTGAAATCAGCCTCATGAAAGAATGGTCAATTAATGTCCACTTGGCCATACACAATAGTGAGAGAGGAGGGAGCCTCAAATGGACGGAGGAAGGGGGGACGAGAGGTCCGTGTTTGAAGTAACGCCATAAAAGCCAGTTTGAAAGGAAACACGGAGAAACCCTACTCCCTCTCCTGTGCCCCCCTCCCCTTCTTTTGTTTCTGCAAACAGTGGGTGCCCCGTGGATGGACCAGGTGTATTTTATATTACTCCCTCATGTACTTCAAACGCCCCGACAGCCCTGTTCCTGCTTAGCTCCCTCTCTTTCCACTCTTCCCCCACTCTATTTACCAGCCTATTGAGGGTTTTAAATCGATTAGAAGTGATCACATTAGGTGACAGAAAACACTTAAAAGAGGCAATGAGTAGGGGAGAAGTTTGGAGGTTATAGAGCTTAGGAAGGGAAAATACAACAATCTATTAATGGAAATTTGGAACAGAAAGAATAAGAAATCCAAAATAAAAACAAAGGTTGCAGATCGACTTCCAGGAAAAAGATAAAATAAAATTGAAGTTGTTAATGAGATGGAAAAACACACCTGATAAATTATGGAAAACTTCAACAAGGACCTCTAAGTATAATTGATTGAATCCGTTAGAAACAACATATACAATTTACTTTTTAAAACCTATTTATATAACATCTGTTCCCATAAGATGTCATCTCAAGGCACTTAAAAAAACAAAGTGGGCTAATTGTTATCGAACTGTTTACACTAAATATCACTCCAGATGCATTTTAATTTTATCCATATTGGTTTCCAGTGCAATCTCTACAATCTAAATAAGTGTAAACTATAACACAAAACTGTCAAATGTAGTAATTTATATTTATTTCCTCTTGGTAAAAGATGTCTGAGTAAGGAAACCAGCTGGTTGCATCGAGTCTTTGCTTTGCTGCAATCCATCTTCATGTGCTAGCATGCAGTAGCTGTAAAAAATAACTCCTCACCTTTTAAACTGAACACGCCTTAAGGACAGCTAGGCTCAGTATGAACAAATTCTACCTGATTAGGATTTAGAGGATGGTAAGGATACAAAATAAACAAATAGGAACTCAATAGGAGCAC